AGTGTAATGACCGGTTCAAATTTCGACGATGTGAGTGCTTTTGCTCCCTGAGCAGCTATATCACGGTTGTGGCGTGGTGTCCAGGCGGTGAAATGCTGTGGACTAGCATCTGCCATTCATCGAAGCTGGTAAGCCATCGAGAAATTGGGGCATGATAGGGTGCCGATGTGGTTGAGAAGGACTTCAAAGTTATGTAATATTCATCAGGTCATCAGCCAACTTTTGTCGATGATTTCCTGTCACGGGACAGGGCGCTCAGCCGGTGTCACGCACATACATAGCGACTGATCTGTAATTTATGGGGTAAGGGCGTCACCTAAGCGACGGCTGCAGACATCGCGTAACCACCCCGTCTATTGATTACATCGCTGGGGCCGCTTGGCTTGTTGCTGTTGTTTTTGCTGTGCCGTACACCCGCAAACGCAGAGTTACTCACATGTGACCGGTACAATAGGCCGGCGGACATTCCCACTTACCGCGCCGAGGGCCTTGGCCGTCTCGAGCCTTTGATCGTCTCGAGCCCCTGGCCGTCTCGAGTCCTTGATCGTCTCGAGCCCTTGACCGTCTCGAGCCCTAGCCCGTCTCACCAGGCTCTTGGTCACCACTCACCGTCCGTGAACTGTCTGCAGTCAGCTGACTTGTCGGAGCCCGTGTTCGATTCGAGCACTTTGGCAGCCTGTGTGACCTGCGGATCATCTCGCGACGCGCGGGGGCTCCTTACAGTAACTGTAGAAGAGATCAGGCCGCTTAGCCAGGGGCCGTTAGGAAAGAGCTATATCGGACCCTCGACCATTTGTGGGGTCCAGAGTGCTCGGCGCTCCTACATCGTCAATGTCTGTTCATAGTGCACACCAAATGCCCAAAGCGGTTCATTCGATGAGCCCCGAACCAGTTGCAGGGTAAGTCAGATGCGGCAGCAGCAGACCGTAAATCAGAACGGCCACATCCATCGGAGGCGAATCGACGTACCTTTTCTGGTGTGCTGCCAGATTTCGAATAGCTGCTGGAGATCGCCAGATGCAGCGATAAACATTGATATTAATGTATCGAACGGGCGTCTCCCCAACGTTCTGAAATAAGCAAACAATCGAACTTGGGGTACTGGACGTATGCGGACATAGACATCGGTACGACGGTCTACGACGGCTACGACAGTCTTCATGTCTATCGGTGTGGAATACCGCGTGGAATTTTGTGGCCATGGGACAGCAGCTTTCTTCATGTAGCAACAATTTTGGTATTTTCATACTGCGCGGTGCTCATTTCGGCAACTTTAACTTTTGCCACGTCAGCTTTTCTGCGTGTTCTCCATCCGTATGGATAATGCTATTTAGATGTGTAGCGAACGCCCACAAAGTGCGAGGGTCAGGTCCGTTTTGGATCCATTCTTCCCATACATCGCTGCAACTGACATTCACACAAACGTTTACGAAAGAAGATAAGGGGCTGGGCGACTGGGTATGTCTTTCACTCATCGTTCAGACTTTCAATAGCGCGAAATGAAGTCTGTCTTACCCACAAAGGCCTCTCCTCCCCCTCAAAACATCGGCACACCCCACCTTTCGATCACCTGCGTGGATCCGCCCCGCATGAAAGGTGGAAGGTCAATGGCACTCCTGCCGTCTCGCGCAGTAAATACACCACTGTTGTTAACGACAGCACGCCTGCACTACGCAGTGCAGTTCCTGACGACCGCGCTATGGTGCGGTAACTGTACTGGATATACGCACGTGCGGTTACTGTCTCCATATGTGTTACAGGTGAGAGGCCAGTTACCAAATTCATTCAGACCCTAACTGTTATAAACTATTCAATATGTTGTGCAGAGCACTTGGTTCAGGAGGCTATGCCGTTCTTTATCCCCCGCCTTGGTTGCGTTCCCGTGTTAAGGCCAGTCTGTAGTTTTTTTATGCAGTTGGGGTTGGCGTCCAGCCCTCGCCAGCATGGGTGCCAGTCCCTGAGCTTTTTAAAGGAAGTGGGCCAAATCCGGGAGAGACACGTTTTTTTGACGTATTTTAAGAAAAGGCTGCGTCGTTCTTCACCGTTCAACCCCCAACTCGTTTTGCGACAATGCGGCTCTCGTTGAGGCAATTTTCTGAGAAACGTAAAGTACAAAGACCACTCTGTAGAGCACTAAGGATTTTCCCAAGAACTTTTACTAAAACCCCTTTTTCCTCTTCCATACAAAGCTAAAATAAAAAGTGAAATGAAAGCCAAATGATGCATGCGTCACCATGCGGTGATATCGGTGCTCGACAAGTGTCGAAATAAGTCGAGATAAATCCATAATAAGCCAAAATTTGCAGCATCACAGGTCTGAATATCTGTTGAAGGCTCACAATGACTTTTCGGAACTATACATTTGACTGTAGCTTTTGCAATACTTTAAAAATGCATGTGCATTCACACAAATATTGGACACCTGGCAACACACATATTTAGTGCAATCTTTCACCATTTTCTGCATGCGCCAGGTTGTCTCTATTTGTCTCACAGGGCCCGCCGGTCGTAAACAAACAACATCAGGTTCAAAGCCCTCAGTTGCGCGATACATATTGTAGTGTTGGATTGTATTAATACCTTGGTTAAATTTTACATATCTGCGAACTTCGCCTTCCTGTTGTATGGTGCGTTCTGCTCTGGCAGATCTTGAAAGGTTGATGTTGTGATGATGGTGTCGCTGCATTGTCCACTTCCTCCACGCACGCGGTTCGGCATCTGGTCGATCTCGTGGTGTTGGGCATAGCTGATGACTAGCTTGTTAAACCGCTCATGATTTGTTTTGGATGGTAGTGTTTATGTTGTATGGTGGCATAGTACCCAAACTTCTATCATGGCTTGGCAATAGCATTCAAACTGACAGTAAAGCTAACAATGGTAGAAGTCATTGGCATTGTACCATTGGATGTGGGGCCTGTCCAGCCATATAATTACAGACATTTGTGTGTGCGCTGTGTGTCCACCTTGAAATCAAAAGGTTTGCCTTACTTTGGAGGGGATTCTTACAACATGTTGTGTTTGTTCAGCAATTGTTTGTGTTTAGGTTGATTTGAGTGTAATGATAAATCCTGCTCTCTGGTACCTTACAATTTGCCTTCTTGCACACTGGCACTATCAGCCTCTCAGTGTTGCAGTTTTTCTAGCAAAGATACCATGGATTGCATGTGTTACAACAGTTATTAGAAAGATATTAATAGTTTCCAAGATTAGATCACATGTGCATGATTTTATCCAGGCCCATATGTGCTTGAGATGTATAGGTTTTCAAATGGAATGTGATATGTTATGGGTGATATGTGACTATGCAGTGAGGCACCTTAAAGCCCCAAGTATTACAACAAACTGGAATAAGATGTGTTGTTGCTGTGACAAAAATGTTTTTCCACTCAGCATTTAACCATTTTTTACATTGTTTTAAAGCATTTCAAAGTCCTGTATCACCATTTGCATGGGGAGTGCATATGGGAAAGACAGTTTGTGAAACATAATTAACTTTTCCAGCACATGATGCAATTTCAGTACCCCTGTGTCTTCAAGCATCCGCATTATGCAGTAGCCAGCTAGACTGTGATTTTTGTGTGCTTATTTACTGTCCTTTCTACTTGGCAATGATGCCAGCAATATTTTAATTGTGATGGAATGTGAATGGAGTGTGTTTGCATGCTTGCTTTAGAAGAACAAGCATGTTCCCAGGTTCTTTGCATTGATATTTCTGATTGTTGAGAATTTTTATTGCAGTGTTCAGGTCATGTGTTTAAACTTGTAAAAGGCAATGATTTTGAAATGTTTAAGGGCTTTTTTGAAGCTGGACAGCTTTAAGAAATCTGACATATCTTGTCAAAATCCCTGCATTTTAAGCTTGCTATAAAGTGGCATTGGAGGTACCTGGCACGAACATGCAAGCTAAAAAAATCCAACGTGCTGAAAGCTGGAAGTGGCTGATAAGGCATCAGATAAGACATTGAAATGGCCAGATATTGGAAACAACCTGCAATTCTGATCTCTTCAAAGCCCTGAAGAGGTTGGGGTGTGTTATGACTTGCTTGCTGCTCCAACCAAGACCGTGATGGATCATGAGATCTGAAGGCAATGTGGTCTTAACAACAGTTTCTTTGTTGAGTCCTTCCTTTGATAAGCTAGGGTACCTTGCCCAGCAGATCACCTGTTTTCATCAATAATTTGATAGTTAATAGGTGAACTTTCTCACCCACTCACCATACAAAGCTTCACAAGTTTGCCATTGGGTCTGAGATGACCAATTTATGGAGGCTAGATATGGATTTGCAGCTCCTGTGTGCATTATGCCTTGTCAGAGGCTGTCTTTCCAGTGCACTGACCAAGTAATAATAAGTGTGTGTGACATGACTCATGTCATTCTGATTGCAGATGTGCTTCCTGATTGCAGAAGTGCAATATTTACACTCACATGTAATTACGCATGTCACATGGTTCCTGTGCTTATTTGCAATCACTGTGCATGCAATCATTCGAAGTATCTGGTGGCTGGCCACTGTTTTTTCAACACTACTGTGATGGATATTGAGTTCCAATAAGCACATGGCTTAGCCCAGAATAGAATGAGTTGGAGTCAGTGAGATCTCATGGTTTTAATGAAAGAATCAGCCAATGAATGAATATGTGTTTGTTTCATCTTTGCTGTGCTGATGGCTGGGTTGGGATGTCACTGATTTTGAATATACTCCCTGTGGGTTGACCCATACACTGCTACTCAAACTTCTGCTTGCATAGTGTTTGATGACATTGGAGTGAGCTCCAGACAGGACAATCGGCATGCAGCCATCACAGGCCAAACTGGACCATTTCAGAGTACATTTTCAGCACTGCTTGGAGTTCTCAGCATGTTCTATGAGGACTGCTTGCAAACCGCTGCCCACTAAGAGTCACAAAACCATATAATTAAGGTTGTGATTTCAACTCTTGTGGATTCCATTAACTGTGTCACTGATTCCTGACCTCCCAGTTCATTCTGTATTCCCAGTTCCCATTGCCCATATGAAACAGCCTCTGATTATTGTTGACAGGTTTGTGCTTCTGTCAGTGAGCACTTGGCCTGGCTGTGTCCTTGAATTTTATTTTCTGTCTGCATTCAGCTCAGAGATCCTTATATTGTGGGCAAGTGCTGAAGTCTAGAGATGCCTTAGTTTCATGATATCTTCACAGACCCAACGCTGGGTTTGTCGGAACCCAGGGGGTGCACAGGTCCCCAGTATTTTTGACCTCACAGTAAATGGTTTGTAGTGCAAGATCCAAGCAAAATGTGGTAAACTTGAGGCTGTGTGCAGCAAAGTGAGCTATTTTGAGACCTAGGGTACTCATACTGTTTTGGCCTTATGCCTATGACTTAAGAAACTTATACTGGCTATTGAGCCACAGCATAGGCTGTCACCTATGTAGTGGTTCCCAGGCGCGAGTACCGCGTGGGTGGAGATGTCACCAGTCGTGTGTGAGGGGGAGAGGGTCCTGGTATAACTGCCCTGCTTACGGCTCGCACGCTATCAAGCTGTTTCCCAATGTTGCTAGGCCAACTGGGCTCGGACAAATTGCATTGATCACATGGCGACCCGTCCCTACAGTCTATGCTGTCATCTGTGTCCTCTGCATCATTATCTGAGCTGACGTCCTGTTTTTGTAGTGGGTGTTACGCGTTACGACGGCCACGGAAATTGTACAGCAAACGGACTTGGACGCACGAAATATACGGAAAATGGAAAAAGATAACGTGTGATCCCGGAATGGGATAAATGCCACTCACGACCAGCAGTGTCTGCCCCCGTGTTCCGTTGCCGAGATTGACATCCTGCCTGACACGCAGCGGCTGCTCACGAATGCACCGACCGCCGCCTGCACTCCGGCCTTGAGGTGTGTCGCCCGTCCGGTGGTACCGCACCTCGCCGTCGGCGCGCTGCGGCCGTCTCTGACGGCGCTGACCGCCGCCCTGTGTCCGGCAGCGCCGGTGGCACCATGCCGGAGGAGGGAGCCAAGGCGAGCGTGTCGCCGCCGCGCTGGGCCGGCCTGCACTCCGAGTACTCGCCGCCCAAGGCCGGCCCGGAGGCGGCCGGCGACCCCGGCACGCGCTCCGAGACGCGCCGCCCCCACCTGGTCAACTACGGCGCCTCCCGGCTCAGCTCGTCCGTCAGCTTCATACCGCTGCCCGAGCACGGTAGGCCGCCGCGCCGCCGGCCGCGCTGCTTGCGGGCCGGCGACAGTGACACACAGCCACACGGAAGCACAAAGCTGAGGCCTCTCCATCGGCTTTGGCCTCGCTGTTTGCGGGTGGGAGATCTTGTCTGATGCCTGTCCTGCACTGGCGAATGTCTTAGTGCTTTTGGTGGTCCGGGAATAATGTCCTCGTATTTTTGGGTGGTTACGTTTTACTGTGTGCACGAATAGTGATGTAGAGCTGAGGTGTGACTCGGCTAGCATTACCGTTGTTCTCATTGGCTCGGGGTCGGTTGCAATTCCGGCTGTGAAATCAAGTGTTACAATGAGATCAGTGGTTAAATTTTATCATAATTATCCGTGTGCCCGGCTGCTTTATTGAAAATTCACCGCTGAGAAATGTAAGAACGTGCGGGAAGTGGCCGCTGCTGGTACTTTCGTTATGATGAATTCATGAGTTGCCTTGATAAGTTAGCGCCATATTACTACATGAAATACGAAATGCACTAGACAGATAAAATAAAAGCGGAAACTGAGATGTGCCGACCGTAAATAGCTGTGCCGAAGCGTTTGACGGTAGCGTGGCGAGTTTGACCCGTCCCGTGCGCGGGGCTGGGGTTTGTCTCCGATCGGCCCTTCTTCGCTGGGTCTCCCGGCCCGGGGCCGCCGTGACCAGCGCCGGTCACGCGGCCGCCTGCCGTCGCTGACTGGGGCCCGTCTGCGGCAGGCCGGCTGGTGATCGGCCTGCCCGAGCGCCAGCTGCCGCCCGACATCAGTATCCAAGGCATGGGCGTGGAGCCGGCGCACGCCGTGCTGGAGGCGGACGGCGGCCGCGTGCTGCTGCGGCCGCAGGCCGACATGACCACCGTCGACGGCATCCGCTGCACCGGCCCCGTCCTCCTCAGCAGCGGTAAGTCGACGACCCGGTCAGCCAGCTCACTACTGGACGGTCAGGCCAGCAGCGTGCGACCCAGCAGTGGTGAGTGTACGGTCCAGCAGTGGTGAGAGTGCGGTCCAGCAGTGGTGAGAGTACAGCTCGGCAGTGGTAGTGTACTGTCCAGCAGTGGTGAGAGTACGGCTCAGCAGTGGTGAGAGTACGGTCCAGCAGTGGTGAGAGTACAGCTCAGCAGTGGTGAGTGTACTGTCCAGCAGTGGTGAGAGTACGGCTCAGCAGTGGTGAGAGTACGGTCCAGCAGTGGTGAGTGTACGGCTCAGCAGTGGTGAGTGTACTGTCCAGCAGTGGTGAGTGTACGGCTCAGCAGTGGTGAGTGTACTGTCCAGCAGTGGTGAGTGTACGGCTCAGCGGCGGTGCGTGCTCGACCTGTCCGGCCCAGCAGCAGTGAGTGCCCGCTGTTGTCTAGCTCAGCAGCGGTGACCGTGCCGAAGCTGACGGCGGCACAGCGAGGTGCGGGAGAGCTTGCGGGCAGGCTGTCTGGCTCCATTTCCGCTAATCCGCCTGATATAGCGATTTGTCGTGGGGAATTTATGCCTAAGTTTAGGTAAAATGATGGCGTACGTTATGAACAGGCCGAAGTTTCAGCTACAGGGCCAATGCAGTGAGCAGTAAATGGACGATGAAAGCTAAGCATGCCCCGACCATCTGAAACAAGTTAGCTGCTGATGAACTGGAACACATCAGGTCCAAAGGCTCTCTTCATGGCTGGATAGGGTTTACACGTGGGACATGCCGATGACAGAGCATGGGTCGATGTCATGAACCTGTCTTCCAGCGCCGACTCAGGGACGGCACCGAGGGCGTCTGGCATATTGCAGGCCAACCAAACGGCCACCACATGCAGTCCAGCCTGTGGTGGCACGCGTGCCAAACAACGGCCGAAAGAGCCGGCCGTACCTCGCTCGCTTTTGTATCCGACGCGGCTGACGCGTATTCCAGGAATGGCGCCGAGATTTGAGAGCAAGGTTTCAGCCACGTGAGAAGCAGATGTGAGGGCTGAGATTGAACAAAGAGTTGTGGCGGCTGTGCCTCTTAACGCGGCGCTTCCAAGCCTCGTTGCTGATGTGGGAAGAGCATTACAAATACAAGGGAAACGCTTACGGTTGAGCTGTGCGTGACGTAGGCTATGGTTCACACGGCGTATGATAGTAATACGAACGTCACAATTCCAATGGGAAGGATCTGGAATATTGCCACTCATTTGTTGTTGTTTTTTAATCACATAATGCCCCCGGAGCGGGACTAATCGCACAAGTCAATGTTGCTACTTGTTGCGATATTAAGCAGCTGTCTCAAGTTTTGTGTAAGGAGCATCAAGTCATTACGGCATTATAAAAGTACTGCCCTGCCCTCGAAGAACGTGAGAGGAAAAGCGCAGACACAAAAGCTGCAGCACGTCACGAAAAAAAAAACGCGAAAGGAACCGGACGCCATGCCATGCTTGCAACTGGCGCACAGTTGTTCATCGGGCTCCGTGGCGTACACGCGCAGCAGGGTACTGACCTGAGGCGCCAGTGCTCGTGACATTGGTCCACCGATTGACGCGACTTACTTGACGTGGGGCCTGTGTCATCCTGGGCGGTCATGTGGAGCGTCCATTGTTGTGCAGGGGCAGACGTGCTCCGGTATGGTTGGCTATGCGTGTGAAATTGATGAATGCTTTCTATTTTAGCAATAACAAGGCTTCAGCTGGTGTCTGTAGGTGATCTGTAAGCAAGAGACGCATTACGTTCGCGTTGGCATGTTGGCGATGTTTTCGTGAAGTGAAAATGATTTTGTACAGGGTTTTGCGCCTGCGTGTTAAGCTGGGCTGCGGACTGCACTGCGTAAGTGAGGGTTTAAACGTGAAGAACGTTTATATGTAGTCTGTGGTATGCAGGAGGTAGTCGCGAGCTACATACATTTGAGTGAAACGTGAATTTGCTTGTGTGAGTGAAGTGTTCTTTATTTTTTTGTTTGCTTGAGGTATTTTTCGTCTGTCTCAAGGCTTTACGGAGTGCAGTTGCGACAAGAAGTGCTTTGTAACGGCTGAGGCGAGCTGTGATCTTGTGACAGGTGTATATCCGGGCTTCTATACATGAAGCGTTTGTACGTCGAACAGGGTTTTGCTGTTTTGTAACACGTTTACTCCCCAGTGCTTGTTCATAAAATTATGCTGGCATGTGGTATTTTGTGATGCACAGTTGGGGAAAGGGGCTGTGTCGGCTTTATCTTTATACATTTTTTACCCAGACGCAGTGCTGTGCCCGGAAATTAGGTATACTTATACAGCTCCTTTTCGACCTTTCTCGACACTTCCTTCAACAAAAGTTACAAACGTATAGAATTCCACGCCGAGCTCGACACTCCGCTTCATTTCCGCCCGTTGGGAATTACGTTGTTTTCCAATATTTGCCCCCTGCCGTGCAGCGCCGCCATCCTGTGATCACGCTTGTTACCATGGCGATACATCCGTGTCGACCATCCGATACCAGGCCGAACTTATGGACTTGCTGCCAGCGGCTGTGATTATGTAGCCGGTTAGCTGGCAAGTAATGTGCCTCGTTCAATACACTTTTAGGAAGGCCATCGGGCACAGTTATTGGGTGCGCATTTCCCCGGTTATTGCGCTAGCGCTGCCAGATTGCTGGACGCGGGCCGCCATATGGACATAATATAAGCTCAGCTGTCGGCACATCGCGTAGAATTCAGTCACCTCGCCTGGGTTGTGCCGCGACTCTGGCATCTGGTAACGCTTACTGGTCGTCGCGGCTCCTGCTGGGCTCGCGTGCATTCGTGCCTAGCGTTTTCGCCGTTCCGGTAGTGTCGCAGTCACAGCTGGTCGTTGGTTGGCTGCCAACAGACCATGCTGCAGTCGATGCTCTGACCCGCTGACCGTGCGCCACGTACTGGTCGCTTGCCGTCACCTTACTGCAACGAGAGCGCAGTTTTTCGGACGCTACGTCCTGAGTCGCACGCTGTATGACTTTTTAGGTGGTTCCTCGCACGCTGTCGAGTTTGGTAAAGTGCTCCAGTTTCTTCGCGCTATAGATTTCCCAGTAACCTTTTCATCATGATGCTAGGCCCGATCATCAAGGATTAGGGTGGCTTGATTGATGCACTTGCCTGATTGGCGGCCCTGCATAAATCGATAGTCGTGGGCGCTGCATGACCTACAGCAGTCGATGCGCCCTAAAACCCCAGATCATCATCATCATCATCACCATCACAGCTGGTTGTGCTGCCATGGTGAGAAGACCCAGCATTGCTGCTGGTGCTGCGACCGTTGTGGCCTTTGCGATTAGCAGCATTGTTGCCACGTTTTTGTCAGTGCAACACGGATGTCGGCGCTACTGCCCTGTTCTTACTATGTTGTCTACCCTCATGTGCTTTTGATGGGCACTGCTGCTATCGCTGCCGTCCTGTCCTTGTGAGGATGGCTACACTCGCTGCCGCCACATTCCCACGGCGAGCACTGCTACTGCCGCTGCCGTCCTGTCCTTATGAGTATGGCTACACTCGCTGCCGCCACATCCCCACGGCGAGCACTGCTGCTGCCGCTGCCGTCCTGTCCTTATGAGTATGGCTACACTCGCTGCCGCCACATCCCCACGGCGAGCACTGCTGCTGCCGCTGCCGTCCTGTCCTTATGAGTATGGCTACACTCGCTGCCGCCACATCCCCACGGCGAGCACTGCTACTGCCGCTGCCGTCCTGTCCTTATGAGTATGGCTACACTCGCTGCCGCCACATCCCCACGGCGAGCACTGCTGCTATCGCTGCCGTCCTGTTCTTGAGAGCGCTGCCGCGCTGGATGTTGCCCTTGCGTGCGCTGCGCCCGACCCTGGTCCCCGCTGTCTCCTGTGCTGAGCTGCGGTGGTCGCTGCGCTGCTCGTGGAGCCGGCGCCGCTTGGCCTGCCCGCCGCCGTATGGTCGTGCGGCGGCTGGCCCTGTACAAACGCTGTCGCTTGTGGTCGGGTCTCCGTGCCGTGCCTCGCCGCGACTGACCGCGTGACTCCGCTTGACCGGCGCCGATGTCGCGCAGGTTGTATGCTGTGCTTTGGCCGCTCGCATTACTTCAAGTATATGTGTCCCGCTGACTACCAGCCGCCGCCGGTGGCGCCCTCTGACGACTACCTGCCGATGAGCCGCGCCCCAGGTGAGTGAGTGTCCGGCGGCTGGTGCCCCGCCGGCCGGGCCTGCACGCCGCCGCGCCTCGCGCTGGGCGACGGCAGCCAGCTGTCGACCGGTGCCGGCGCTCGCCTCGGCGGCTGCTCGCGGTGGGGCGGCAGTGCCTGTTTCTGTGGTGAGGTGGCTCATGTCTCCGCCCGCAGCTTTCCGTATGTACGGGTTGTGATGTGTGAAGTCGAACTGGACAGGCCAGTCGACTCACAGCTCACAGGCGGCATTGCGTCAGACTCTGCTCATTCCGGGGCTGCAACGTCCACCTCCCGAGAATTCTGTCACCTGGAATTATACAGCAAGTCCTACGAATGTAAGCTATCGTTACATCGGGGACGGGCGGACTCCGTGTGACGCGATTTACGTACGATCTGACTTAGATGGTGCCTCAGGGTCGTGCTGCACTGCTGGCGCGCGTTTTCGGGACTTGTTCATGTTCGTTTTTCGCACGGATGTTTGCCTGTCCGTGAACGAGGCTTACATGTGATATGCATCCCCTGCACTTCATTTGGGCGCAAGCTACACGAAACCACTCGAGGCCTGTCGGAATCACTGCAATGAAGTATGTTCTGATTTTAGTAGCGGTGTTTTATTTCACCTTTTCAGTAGATTTATTTTATGTCACTGCTTCAATAGATGTGTCCGTAACGTTGCCTTTGGTGAAAAATAAGAAATATGTCGGAGCTCCTGTCAGTTGGCAAGAAAGGAAACGCCTCAAACTGTTCTGATGAGTGCTTTAACTTGAAGATTTCCAAATTTTTCGACGTATGCTGGGCGCTGTATTTTGTGCTGCGTCTGTGGGCAAGCGATGTCGAACAAACTAGCAGCTGAGGTCTTATTCAGTACATCGAGCTATGTCGTGGAGTTCCGCTTATAACTCGTTTGAGTCAACGTGTTTAACCCGAATACGCATGAGGGTCATTCCTCATTGGCAGACGGTGCCCCGATTTCACTGTAGCTTGAGTTCCTATCTCACCTACCAGTGACGGCCTGTTCAAGTAAGCCCTTGAGTAAGTTCTTCCAACTATGCCTAGCTACAGAGGAAAGTCAGAAAGGTTGTTTTGGTGCCAAAGGTTGAGAACAATATACAGTAATGGCAACGCCGGCTAGAAAAACTACGACATTATGCGTACGTTTTCAAACACATGGACACATCTTGAAAATGAAATTTCATCCATTGGACTGCACGTTTTATTGAAAGTGAACTACCTCAGCACAAAGCACCATCTACCTCAGCACAAAGCCTCTCCGTGCACAAAGCGTGCACGCAAACTTGTGGTGTGAGGTATCTCTAAACTGTGCACGGAACAACAACAGACGGGACGCCAGCACGCCATCTGATTGCTTCACAGTGCCACCCCAACCCAATACTTTTCACGCATGCACAGCCGCTCCCAAACAAATTAAACTCCACAGACGTGCTCCTCGATGTAAAGACACATGATGTGATTTTTTGTCAAGCAAGCTCAGGCTTTCAGAACAGCACACTGGTGCTTATTGGAGAGCTATGAGCAGATGGATTCATCTATGACTGCAAACACCAGAAAACTATTTAATTTAATGGCTTAAGGCATCCTGGTTATGTTGACAACGTGGTATGTTTGTTTTGTGCTGATGTTCGAGCGGCCTGAAAACATCCGGGCTGTGTTTATCGAGGACATGTTTCCCCAAACTTCAGAATGCTGAAAAATACCCCAAAGCGTGCCCTGGGTCCAGCGTGTTCGGGGAGCGCCGGTTGCGTGCCTTTAGTCGATAGAGGATCGCTATTGGTCTATTTGTATGAGCACGTCAAAGCCGCAACGCGTCTTGAACAAAACAACAGCTTTCCGACGCACCCCGTCCTTCGCAAGGTGAGAAATGGGCTTCGGCAAGACAACTCTGCACCGCCGAGTCGCCGTCAAACGGCGAATGCAATCGAACGCCACCATCCAATGGACTTGCCCCAAGTTGTAAATGGGCTGACGTTTGCCAATGACGGACGGCTTGGTAGTTGGTGATTAGTTGCGACAACGTCACGCCCAGCTGGGTGTCGCTACCTCCACCTTCCACTCTGTAAAATACTCTGGTCTTCAAACCTGATTTACGGCCAATTTGTATGTCGTCCTTTGGAACTGAAGGCCCCGCTTGAAGTGGAAGCCCGATATTCGCCCTGGCCGTGGAGACCCCATATTTGCCTGCAGGGAGGTACGCAATGTCACCGAATCCGTCAGTCGTGTGACTACCGGCGTTCATAACCGGCGGCTCACTGTCGTCAACGCTGCCATGCAACGGCGCCAACAGAGACCAAAGCAGCCGCCTCTCAGCGGGGTGCTGTCCGACTCCGGTCATGTCAGGTCGGACCCCGCTCATTGTCGGACGGACCGCCAGCGTGAAAAGCTCTTCACCACACGCATAGGTGTTTGCGCGCCTTGCTGTCTGCGCCATGACTGTGTTTGCCGCGTCTCCCGGCCGCTGCGCGCTTTTGGCGCCGCTCCGGATATCCGGCTGCCGCAGTGACCGATGCGGCCGCGCGTGCCCCGTTGCCGGCGCCGGTGTCGGCTGAGTGCGCGGCCCGGCTGTTTTTCCGCTCGCCCACGTGCAGCGGCTGCCACCCGCAAGCCGCCGGCCTTATTGGTATGACTCAGTGGTATGTCCGCACCGAGGCGAGCCGCGGGCCGAAAATAAGAAGCTGACTAAAAAGCGCTGGCGATAGAGGCAACGCCACCTGTCAATGGCTGGTGAGCGGGCGACAGGCCGAGCTGGAGAGAAGGCTGGCCTGGGTCATGATCGCGACAGCTGCGCTGGCATATGGACGTAGCTGTCGCAACCTGTGTGTGTTTACCAAGAGCTTTTTTAATGTATTTCTGTATGGGATAACGACGATGATGAGTTGATGAGTGTCCCGGCCGCGTAGTGTATGAGTAACGCCATCCGTGATAGGCTCGTTTCATGTTGCTGAGGGCTCGTCCCCAGTACCGGTGTTAGGCAAGGCGCCTGTTGGAGAATGGTGCCGCCGCCAAATGTCACCAAACGGGTCGGTGGCCAGTATCCTCAGAGCAGAGGCTGCTATCCACCGGCTGCCTCCGTCGCGAGCGTGTCGGCCTTCCGGTGACCGCCGCGCACACTTTCCCAACCAAGTGTGCTCTCGAACGCCGCCGCTCCGTCGGGTTGTCGATCTGGCCGGGCCTGCCGCCGCCTCCACCCCGGAAGTGGCCTGTTTCCGTCGCCGCCGCGCGATGGCTGCAGCGCTGCAGGGCCCGCGCGCGCTCCGGCCGCGCCAGCGACCGCGCACGTGACTCCGATTGCGGACGCGAAAGCGGACGGGGGGGCGGCGGCGACGGGCGGCGGCTAACCGGCGGCGACAGGGCGCCGCTGCAGCCGGTCTGGCGGCTGATTCAGCGGCCGCGCCGACGGCCGGCGCCGCCAGGGCGCGAGCGAGCGGCCGCGGATGCCCCGGCAGAGGCGGCCGCTGCGCCCATCGCTCGGCGGCGCAGTGGGGCGCGCGCCGGCCGGCCGGTGCGCTGACTGCCGGTCGAGCGGCGCCGCGGCCGACCAGAGCCGGTGACCGGTGACCGGTGACCGGTGATTGGTGACCGACGACTGGTGACTGGTGATCGGTGACTAGTGACTGGCGGACGGATCGAACGACGGGTGTCGCAGCTGGTCGGTTTCGGTGACCTGTGACTGGGGACCGGTGATTGAACGAAGCCGGTGTTTGTCGCATTCGGTGGGGTTCGGTGTGACTGGTGACTGGGGACTTGGCCGGTGGACTGATCGAGCAGCGGGTGCCTCAGCTAGTCGGTTTCGTTGACCGGTGACCGGTGACCGTGCCGGCGGCTGGTCGAGCGGCGCCGCAGTGTTCCGCAGCTGGTCAGCACCAGTGCCGGTGGCCGCGGGGGACCGGCCGGGCGGGACTCGGCCGGAGCGGCCGGGGCGCGCAGCTGCACGGGCGGGTTGTGCGCGTCAGGCGGCCCAGAGCGGGCGGGCGGCCGTGTGACGCGTCCCCGGCGCCCCGGCGCCGCCCTGCCGCGCTCCATTTACACGGGCCGGCGGCGTGTAAACGGAGCGCCGATGTGGCCGGACGGCCCCGGTGCGGGCTCGACTCCGATGGCGTACCGGGCCCCGCTGCCAGGTGAGATGCCGCCGCGCCGCCCCTGTTGCGGTTGGAACAATGCCGCGGGCCGTTTCGGCACGTCATGCGCCGGCCACGGATCGCTTTGATGCCGCTCTGATGACTGCTGACGGCTGGTTGGGCGCCGGTTTTGACAGGATGACTAATGAGGATGTGTGGTAAGCTGGTGGGGATGTGCCCGTGTGGGATTGACAGCAGCACTCCGCTTGCGCGATGGGCTTTCACGCGAGTGCTTCAGTCTCACACGACTTCACGGCGCAGCCTTGTGGGAGTTCGCACCGGGTAATGGGATCCATACTTCGTTGTGTTATCTGCGGTGACGTTGTAAACATTGTGGTTTGTGTGTCTGTTTTGTGGGGTCGTGGTCCTGACAGCGCCTCAGTGACTCCGCTACGGCGCTGAAAATGATGGTCCCGGTGGCCTGAATTCCAAGTGTGCATGCTCAGATGCCGACTGCAGACACGTGAGCTGCCTCCCAGATAGTGGCGGGCCGTGGAGCGCGTTTGATTGGGCCAAATCATCTTCGATTATGTCGTGCGCTGACTTCTCTGACAGAGGAAACCGGCTGAGATTTGCCGTAGATTCGCTCAAATGGTGATGCATCACCCCGCGGCTAGATTGATATGTGAGGGTGTGTTTTCGAGGCTCGATGTAGCTGCATGCGATCGCCACGCTGGTCACGTTGTCAGTTATCTGCGTCGTAAAGTAGCCCGGCATGATTATAGCCAGAAGGGCAGTGAAGCGATTGGGCAGTTGTCGGTGTCCCGGACCGGTTCCATTTCAGAGTCTCCCATTTAAGTGCTCCGCTTATGCCATGTGCTGATATGCCACGACGCAGACTTTGTTCTCCTGTTCTCTGGAGTGATGTCGCTCGATGTAACCCACTTGTCGGTCTCAAGGCCGGCGGACATTCAAACGCTGATCTGGCGGCGGCTCCAGCCGTGGGCGGGCGCTGGGCGACCGCTCTGCTGGGCTGCAGCTCCGCCGACGGCGAGGTCACCATCGGTACACGTGTACACCGGCCGGGGCTCGGCGCCGGCCGCCGCTGATGCCGTCCACCGGCCGCACCCCGCTCCTGACCCGCTGCCACTGGTCAGGAGGGCCGGCGCTGGCCGCCGCTGGTGCGTCCATAGGCCGCGCCCCACTCCTGACCCGCTGCCGCTGGTCAGGAGAGCCGCCGCTGACTGCCGCTCATGCGTCCGTCGACCGCGCCCCGCTCCTCACCCGCTGCCGCTGGTCAGGAGGGCCGGCGCTGGCCGGCGCTGATGCCGTCCGTCGACCGCGCCCCGCTCCTCACTCGCTGCTGCTGGTCAGGAGGGCCGGCGCTGGCCGGCGCTGGCCCCCGCTGATGCGTCCATAGGCCGCGCCCCGCTCCTGACCGGCGCCCGGACCTTGGCCTCACGCTCGTCCTTCGTATCCTCTGGAGGCGCAGGCGCCGGCGCCGCGACACTCACCTGGAGGGCGCGGTAGCGAGGTAGCTTTTCTCTCAGAGGGGGGGGGGGGGTGCAACCCATCCTACTGAACAAGAAATTACACCCCTGGATTGAGAGGAAGGATGTTGTTACCGAGTCTGTCATCCCGGCAATAATGCCTCTTTACACGGAGGCTCCTAAGTGTTTTTGTCGTGTGCATAAAGACTGGTAATTTCAAGGAAAGTTGTTTTCGGGATACAGAACACCTTTGCGGGTGTAGTTAAGCATTGTTCTAAATAACGCAAGTGTTGACGACCCGACGACCGAAATCCGAAATACGATCTCCTCCAAATTTGTAATCGATCTTCGCACCAAGTTCAGCTCAAGGTGGCATGTGGTGCTCAACTAGACCTACCATGGCCTGCGGCATGTCAAGCGGTGTCTGAATGCTGTGCGCGCGCCTGCGTGTGGTACCCGCCGTTGGGGCGTCCGTCTGTCCTGCCCGACGGTGGCTTGCCTCGGCTGCCGATTGGCGGCAGATCCTGCAGCTGGGCGTGCCCCGCGGCGACCCGCTCCTGCTCACCCACGCCGGCCATGTGCTCGGTTATGACGCCACGCTCAAGGTGGCACGCTGGGCGTGCGAGCTGCTTCGGCCGGACGGCGGCGGGCCGCGCGCCAGCCGGCGGCGCGCGCCGTTCCGCGCCGACCCACGCCTGCCGGCGGCGGAGGCGGCGCGGCCGTCCGACTACCGCGGCTCCGGCCTGACGCGCGGCCACCTGGCTGCCGCCGCCAACCACGCCGGCTGCCAGCGTGCGCTCGACGACACGTTCCTCATGTCAAACGTGGTGCCGCAGGCGGCGGCCGTGAACGGCGGCGCCTGGCACCGACTGGAGGCGCACTGCCGCCGGCTGGCGGCCGCCGGCCCCGTCTGGCTCACGACCGGGCCGCTGTTCGCGCCTTGCGCCCAGCCGGACGGCTCGCTGGCGCTTCATGTGCCGCTGGTGGGTGCGGCGCGTGTGGCTGTGCCCACGCACCTGTTCAAGACGCTGGTGTACCGCGGCGCCGGCGGTCGCCTGCTGGCGCAGACGTTCGTGGTAGCGAACGCGCCAGAGGCGGCCGACGCGCCGCTGGAACGCTGCGTGGCCACGCTGGAGGAGGTGGAACGGCTGAGCGGGCTACGCTTGCTCGGCCGGCTCCGACGCCGCGAGCTGCGCCAGCTGACCGCCGAGGAGCTAGGCTGACCGGGCGCCGCCGCCCGCCGCCGCCGCCGCTGCCGCTGACCGGGCGCCGGCGGCGGGTCGGTCCGGTTCAGGCGGCGCCGGTCCGCTGCCGGCCCAGCTGTGTGTACTGGAGAGCTGGGCGGCGAGCGTGCGATGCCGCCAGGTCGACAGACGGCTCCCCGTCGCCGTGTGTCCCTGAGTCGGACGGTGTAGTCCGGCCGGCCTGCAGCCCGCGCCGTCGGCTCGCGCGCCGGCGCGGCGGGCTCCGGCGTCACTCGGCACCCTACAGCGTCGCGTAAACTCGGCTGGTACTCGGCCGTCCCGACACTCGCCGCGCGCGGTCTGCGGGCTCCCGCCGCGAGTCGGCAGCACGGGGCAGCCTAAGCGGCCTCCACTATTGTGCTTGGAACAATGCCCTGGGGCGTCTCGGACACGGCGCCTGCCCGCCGGCGGCCGCTTTGATGATCAGCGATCGCGGCTGCCGCGGCGTTTGGCACGCCTATTGGTCACGCGCTGCGTCGCTAACAGCCGCCAGAGAGTCGCGGGGTCTCTGGTGGGTTGGAGCGAGCAGTGACGTTGGGGCAATGGGATATTTCGTTTGGGTGTGCGGCGTGGAAATAAACAGTCGGAAAGTCAGGTTGGGTGATGCAACACCGTGGTTCTGGATGAAGGGCTGGAAGGTTCGTGAGTCGTTTGATGCGGTATTTACGGACTCCCAGAGCTATGGAGATTTTCGGATGCTCAAATTGCTACGGCGTAGCGTCTTTTATGCTTAGTCAGTTTATTTTTAGAAAGTGGTCGTGGATGTTGCATGTGCCCTGCATAAGGAATTCCAAAGGAGTGCAGATCTTCTTTCAACTGTTAGAGATGCTAGCGATATGCAGCCCTTTTGAATGTTTGAACCGTGATGAGCTGTGCACGCCTACCAAGGAGAGCTAATCCTATGTGCGACGCTGAGCGGAGTAATCCCCAGGAATCTCCGGTGTACTGCCAAGGCCGTGACACCCCTCGCTGAGACCTGTTTGACGTCGCGTATCGGGCTGCAATGGTTGTCCATTATGAAATCCACGGCGCCTTCCGAATACCGGGGATGTAATTGGGGTTGCTCCCGCAGAACTACCGCACAAGACTGGTTTGAGTGTTACGACGTGGGTGTGGTCTACTACGAATGATTGTAATCGCCACATGTCGTAAGTCTGTTAGCTCCGTTATGGGTCCTGCTGTGACCGGCTAGGTGGGGGCAGACCGGTGCTATCGCGATCCCGTTTCGGCGGGAGCGGTTGTCAAGCACCGCGTTGTCTCCGCGACGTTGCCGTGGCCGCTCCGGGGCGTGTTTACGTTGTCCTCACGCGTTCCCCGAAGCCGGCCGTGTTTACCGGCGTCCTGGCCAGATCCGGGTATGCAGCAGCCGGCGACTTGCGATGGCGGGAAGGTGGGGGTTCAGATGGACAGCGAGCCCGGACGAGTGCAGAGGGACGCTGCGCCATGGAACTGTACAAAATCGTGCTGGTGGTGGACAGCTTGGGGCGTTGGCTACTTACGGTGTTATCGGATTGGGTGTGGGCTAACGCGATCGGCACTCCTCGCATTGCCATGCAAAATGCAAATGAGAAACGCGGCTGTGCGAATCCAGTATACGCAGCTCGTGCCGTATAAACCAATGTCACCCAGTGTGGGACTCCCCTAAGCCTCCACAAAGCCCCGGGGACCAATGGCCGCCGCCGGCGCGTGCGACCGGCCGCTGCCACGCGTGACCATTGACCGCTGGCCGCTCTGCCGACAGCGCTGGACAACCCGGAGTACTACCACATGGCGACGAGCTCGGAGGGCGGCGGCGGCGGCGGCGGCGAGCCGTCGCCGCCGCCGCCGCTGGCGCCGCCCAAGCCGCCGCGCCAGCCGGCCGCCGAGCAGACCTTCTCCGGCGAATACCTGTACACGCGGCTGGAGCGGCCGCCGGTGCCGCCGCCGGTGGCGCGTGCGCCGCCGCGCGCCGCGCCCCGGCCCTCGCCGTACGACAACGTGCCGGTGGGGAGGCGCGGCTCGCGGCCGGCCGACGCCGCCGCCGCCGCTGCTGCTGCCGCTGCCGTCACCGCCGCTCAGCCGGCGCCGCTGACCGAGGAGGAGCTGGCGCAGCGGCACAGACAGGTACGACCGACGGCGGCTGGGATGGCGCACCCACCCCGGCCCCTGGGACTCACCGGGGAGCGGACCCTGTCCAGGACCTGTCCAGGAAGATAAACGCGCGACGTGTGAGGTGCACTAGCGCTTGTCCTCATACGCAGTTTCTTGGCTTGTCGTTGGTTAGATGTGCCGCCATAGACAGTCCCGCGTCCCGTGGAAATTGTGCCCATGCCTGTGTGGGTGGCGTGGTGCTCGCGCTTCTGTATTGATCAGCCGCCCTGCCTGCGCGCCGCCGAATAACGTGGCCTTTACGCGGCCATGTCCCCATGAAAGTACACCGCTGACTAGGCGGCTGTATTGAAATCAGTGATGGAAGGAACTGGGAAGGGCACACAAGCACGACGGTCACGTCTAGTCGGAGGCATTGATCCTTGGCGTAGCGAAAGGGGTTGGGGTGTAACAAGGGTGGCTGGGGTACGGGTGAAAGCGGGCTGGCTGCATGTGCCGGTAAACACTCCTGGTTGATGGCCGGGTAGCCAGCGGCTGATTCAGTGCTGACTAGACGGAGCCACTGACAGGCTGGAGAATGTGCAGCTCGTGAAGCAGATTGGTCTGTCAGAGTTGAGTTTACATGAGCCCCGCGCTGACGTGTTTACCAGACGAGGTTCGGCACAGGTCTATCCGTCATCCCGTAGCAAGAGTGACCCGGCAGACCCGTGCCGCGGGCGGCGTGGCAATCGACTTGCGTTGTCAGCACGCCAGTTGTTGGATTGTCACGCTCAGCTGCCGGGCTGCCCCGTGAGGCGGTGCACGGCTGTCGGGCAATCAGTGACCTCACGTGAGGAGTTGAAGAGAGCTCCGAAGAGGTGGTGCGCTTGCTAGTAGAGTGGCGTCATCTGTGAGCAGGGAATAATATTTCTAGGTGTTTGAAGATATTTCGGTTTGTCGCACTCCCAGCTGCCGATTAGGTTGAATTTGTTAGCCAAATGTATTGTATTTAGGAACTTTTATATAAGTTCTAGCCTTCGAAGTGTATTATCAGCGGGTATCTGGCTACGTGCACAGAAACACGTTATTTGTTATGCTGACGGAAAGCTATTATGATCTGTCCCAGACGGCCCATCTAACCGTGATAGGGATGCTATTGAACGGATGGTACATTTATATCAGTGTCCTTTTAGGAAGGTCGTGCGGAAACAACACGAATGTTTGTTTTGAATCACATATTGCGGGTTTGGAACAATATGCGAAATGTGTCGTGAGCGAAAGAGAAAGGAAACGTCATACACCTCGGGCGGGGCAGCTAGGCACTGTTTGCCTCAATGTGTCAGCATTAGTCGAGGTGGGCGTGGCAGTGAGCAGCGGCGGTGCTCGGCTCACGCCACGCCCACCAGTAACCTGACTGGTCGGTTGGGCCGGTGGATCCCCCCCCCCCCCCTCCACTTCCGATTCGAGGTCAAGCGTCGTGTTTGCGCTCTCCATATTGCACTCAATTGCGCAGGAGCTGATAACGCACTCCACACAGGTGGCCCTGTTTGTCCTGATACGGGCTTCCAAACGAGCCCGTCGCCCAATATGACGGCGCTGCCGAGACGAAAGGATGTCGTTCGGTGTTGGGCGGCACATGTCACGCGAGCGAACCCCCAGTCCGTCGGTGATGCCCCGAACTGGAGCTGCAGCCAGCTCACTACACAGCCTGTGGCCATCTCTGCGCACCTGCTGAACCTGTCCGAGCTCCTCTATCCCGCAGAGCCGTGTCCGTCCGAGTCCTGACCTGACCTGCGCCGGTGCTGACTGCAGCGCCGCCGCCGTCCGGCTGTTTCCGGCGGGGCGGGGCGACCGGCCGCGCCCGCCCCTGGCTTTGTTCGGCTGCGGCGACCCGAGAGCGGCGATAACACCAGCCAAAGGCCACGTGACGCCGCGTCGGCCTCAGCTGTGATAGCGGCGCGGCCAGTGGTGTGGGCGGCCATGCAGCGCGTGCGGCGCGCCCGGTGCCCTGTGTCCGACGCCGGCGTTGCTGCTGATCGGGCCGTCGCGCTGTGTTTTGCTGTGTGATAGCCGGCGCTAGCGCTCTTTGATAGCTGGCGTTAGTGCTGTGCAATATCCGGCATCAGTGTCGTGTGAAAGCGGGCGTTGGTGCCGTGTGATAGCCGGCGGTAGTGTTGAAACTGCCACAGTACGTCGTGTGACGCGGCACCTGGTGCCCGTCATGTCATGCGGTGACCGATGGTGGTCACGCTGCTGCTGCGACGCTGCGAGGCGAGGCGGCAATATGCGCATGTGTCCCTTTTCCCAGTATGGCATACACGATAGATGGTCGGTGTCCGGTCACAGTGGGCGCCGTTGGCTCCAGCACAGCCGACACCGCAGTTTATGTGGCGGGACGTTATCACGTCTGCGGGTTAGGATATTGTTGCTCGACGGAAGCCCGGCAGTCGGGGCTGACGCGGCACGATGTGGTTTTCGGGGACGGTCAGCCGGTAACCGCAGGTCGCTGCGCACCGAAGCCAGACTGCGCGTCCGTCTGGGGCTGGACGGTCGGTCGGCGGCAGGCGTTCTGACCCCCGTCGACGGTGTGTGCCGCTGAGGCGTGGGCGTGCGTACCTGCTCCCCGCTTCCCCTCTGTCTCGCATGCCGCTGGCCAGCTCCCTGTGCCAGGCGCGCCCGCCTGGCCCAACCAAGCCCGATTGACGTGGCCCGGCGTCGGCAGGTGGCGGAGGAACGCGAACGAACCGAGGCACTCGACCAGCTGGAGCAGTCGCGGCTGGACGAGATCCTCAGCATGTGTGCCGAATACGACAGCCAGATGGCGGCGGTGCCGACGCCGGCCGGTCGGCCGCCGGACTCGCCGGCGCCGGCGCAGCGCAGGTATGCCCGCGTGCGTCGCCGTTGTGCCGCGTCCGCTCGCCAGCGCCGGTCATGTCGCACGGCTCCCGGTCTGGCCGGCGCCGGCCGGTCAGGGCACCCTGTGGAGCGCGCCGGTCGGCCGCCGCTCGGATGTGCCCACGGATGTTGTGAGCTGACGCGCTGCCTCGCGCTGCTGCAGGATCAAGACGAACGGCTCGCTTCCGCGCGACAAGCGCCTGGGCTCGCCGGGCCCGGTGACGCCACCCGAGGCGCGCCGCCGCTCCCTCTCCGACGACGAGCCAACCGCCGCCGACCCGGCCGCCCTGCGCAGCCCCTACGAGAACGTCAGCTTCGCAGGCTACCCGCAGAGCCCTCGCACCCGTATCCGCACCACGCTGCAGCGCGAGCGCCAGGAGGCGGCGGCGGCGGCGACGGCGCGGGAGGCGAGCCCGCCGGCGGCCGGCGCCGTCTACATGGTGCCGCCGCCGCCGGTGCCGGTGCCGCCGCCGCGCCAGCCGGCCCTCCCAGAACGGCGACGAGCGGCACAGCCTGCAGTTCGAGAACCGGGAGTACATGCAGGGCCTGCCGCTGGACCCGAGCTTCCAGCAGGACGACCTCATCTTTCTGCCGGTCGGTTGCGGCGGCGGCAGCTGGCACGTGATGGTCCCCGGGCCTGTGCTCTGTGCTGCAAATGAACTGGAGGGGAAGACGAAATGCGAGCAAAAGATGCTGGTCCTTGTTTGTGGGATTGTCTGTAGTGTTTGCAGTTTCTCACGAGCTCAACCCAGCCGATACTGATTCTTACAAATCCGTTCGTTGTATTGTGGGGTTTTGCTGGTCCTGCTTACGGTTCTGGTATTGGTCGCAAGTCAGAAAATGAATTAGGGTGTCGATAGTGGAGTGGTTAACGCGTCTGCGCCACCGCTGCGCGTCCGGGAAGCCGGAGGTGCGGGACTCGATTTCCCGCAGTGCCCTCCCTCCTGCCAGTGTGAGCGGCAGTCGACACCATAAAGCCACAGCAGCTGAGCGCGGCGTAAAGTCCCAATGGCTCCCCCACGCCCAGAGAATGACTTGTAACAGATCGTGCGCAGCCATCGCCGTCGTCGCACCGGTCGCGGTCGTCCGCTGTGCTCCCGTTGTCCGGCGATCCGCTGGCCGCCGTGCGGCCGGCGCCCCCTCATCACGTCGCCTGTCCGCGCTGGCAGGCTGTCGGCGGCGGCTACGTGAACACGGGTATGGACGAGGAGACGTGCCGGGCGGCCGAGGCGGCCAGCGCGCGCGCCCGCCTCGGCCGACAGCCAGGCGGCGACGAGCCGGCGGCGCGGCTCGGCCGGCCGGACGAGGCGCACCGCGTCAGCTGGCGGGACGAGCTGGACGGCGACGAGCCGGGCCGCCATAGCCGCTCGTTCAGTGACACCACTGACGACGAGCGCGAGGTGAGACCATCGCCGCAGAGGCGGCCGCGATCCGGGACGCCCGTGCTGGTGGCGTGTGTGTGCTGTAGTCACGTGACTGGGCGCCAGGTGAGGCCGCAGGTGGACACGGTGGCAGGAAGACAGGACGCGGCCGATCATGACGAAAATTCTGGTTAGTGGTGCGGCGGAGAACGTAGCGAGTGCGTCGCTCAAGTGCGGTATGTGTGACGTCAGGGCAGGGCGATATTGCGTCAGTCATGCGACCGCGATACAATGGTCAGCTTTCTGTGTACAGCACTGACAGCAATGACGAAGCCAGAGCATGTATGTTGACACCACGGCTGTTGTTATTTGGTGCGGCGGTGGCGGTCCCTCGAGTGACAGGGGAGGCTTACGGGGCCGTTGAAGGCGTGACTAACGGCGGACCGCGAGGACTTTGCGATGACGCGATAGGTGTGCACGGCAGCATTGCAGAACTATGGCGGTCGTGTACTGGTGCTGACTCGTCACGTAATGCCGCACGTCGTCCTCACAGAGACAGTCGTCGCCAGCGGGATGGGTCGGCAGCGTAGCAATGTTACTAAACCGCACATGCTGGTGTTGTAGTTACAGTTGCTCGACTTCGGGACATTTCACGTCGCGGCACGACCGGGGCGCTCTCGATCACGACCAAGGACTGCTCACCGCGGCGCGCTGCCCTGTTTGTTGTTGTTTTGGCGCGTGCGTCGGACGGCGCACATGATGGGTGACGCGCCACACGCTGGCGCTGCAGATGTGCCGCCGGCTCAAGGACCAGAGGCGGATGACGTACCGACAGCTGTCGGAGCTGCGCCAGGAGAAGCTGAACCTGGAGCATCAGGAGTCCGAGTCCATCAGACAGGTACGGGTCAACACAGGCGTGCGTGTGGATGTGCGGCCGTCGGGCTGGAACACCCAGCAATCAGAGCCTAGGCATGTGTACACAGGGACCGCAGGTTAACAGAAAATGTCAAAGGTCAACAGACAATGTACACAGGGGTCAGATGTCCATCAACGGTTGCATCCGGGGCTGAGAGGTCAGTAGACAGGTACGCACAAGGCCAGGGGCCACGAGACAGATGAGACAGGGCCCACAAGAGGTACAAGGTCAGGGGTCGTGAGACCGATGCACACAGGAGTCCAGGGCCCTTAAACGAACCCCTGCACGCCGGCAACAGGTTTTGAATCGCATTCTCCAGCTCCCACATGTGAGGAAGCACTGCGTGGCTTTTATGGAGAAGGGGGGGGGGAGGGGGGTGCACTGACTACAGTGTGGAGCACATCATTTTAGGGACGCGTGTGACGTGGTGCGAACGAAGACCGCTCATCTTCACATCTCCCCCGCCGAACAGCACGACAACATTGCGCGGTGAACCCGGCATTACGTCTCGTGTGAAGGCTCTCGTGACCTATACGCATGTAAACTTCGTATCGCGTTGTATCGCGAGGCTGTGCATTGCAGTTATGTCGCCGTTCGCTGGGTCGTGGGAAGTTCGTCTGTAAGTAGTGGGTTGATGCTTAACGTTGGCTAATGCCGAGACGGCTGGTTGGGATTCGCACGGGACGGCGCGTCACTCGGGCATTTGTGTGACATGGAAGCAATTTTCCGAGGATAAGTGGCATGTCACCTTGAAGCCGTCGTGTGGCATTTGAAGGAAGCTTCGCTATTGGATGCCTGATGTGGAGGACTTAGCCGATAGCATATTGGTCTCGGCCATGCCTGACGTGTCAGCTGAGCTGCAACCCGACTGGCTCAGAGATGAGACGCGGTGTCAGGGCCCGCCCGGCGATTTCACTACCCCCGGCTTGTCCCCGGAGCTCGTCCGCCCCGCCCCGTGAACCCCCCTCCCCCGTCCCGCCCGGAGACCCGGCTGTGACAGCTGGTCGGCTCCCGAAGCTCGTCCGCCCCGCCCGTGAGCTTCCCCCCCCCCCCCCCCCCCGTCCGTCCTGCTCGGTGACCCGGCCGTGACCGCTGATCTGCTGTCTCGACAGCTGGAGATGGAGCACGCGCTGCTGGAGGGTGAGGTGGAGACACACCTGGAGCGGCTGCAGGTGCTGGAGGCCGAGGTGACGGCCGAGCGCGAGGCGCTGGCCGGCCGCACCGAGCTCTGGGAGCGAACGCGCCGCAGCCGCCTGCAGGAAGCTGAAGAGGTGAGACGGCCGGCCGGCCGGCCGCGGCTCCTGGCTCCCGGCTCCCGGCCCAGGTACCGGGCCCGCCACCTGCCGGCTGCGACGGGCGTACCGTCCTCGAGCACAAGTCCGGCAGGCCGGGGAAGACTGGCCGCTGGCGGCGTCGCAACCGTACGCTTGAGTCAGCGTCGTTCATCATCAGAGGATGTTTGTATGTGGACGACGCTCTTTGAATGTAAATAACGAACTTAGCCGTTGATATAAGAGCGTCAGAGAATCAAACCACCCACGGATGTCATGGGCGGCTCCAGCTCATGTAAGCACCAGCCGGTAATCGCCGCCCAGGGTCCGCCTCGCGTCCAGTTGCGGTGATGCGCTGAGCCGCCCGCCATGCCCGGCCCAGGGTCCGCTCGCGTCCAGTTGCGGTGATGCGCTGAGCCGCCCGCCATGCCCGGCCCAGGGTCCGCTCGCGTCCAGTTGCGGTGATGCGCTGAGCCGCCCGCCATGCCCGGCCCAGGGTCCGCTCGCGTCCAGTTGCGGTGATGCGCTGAGCCGCCCGCCATGCCCAGTCCGGGGTCCGCTCGCGTCCAGTTGCGGTGATGCGCTGAGCCGCCGCCATGCGACGTCTCCCTAGAAATCCCATTGTCCCGAGTGGTTTGGTTTGCCCCACATTCAGACAGGCGGCCAGTGACAGCCACGTCAGCTGGAAGCTGCCGCCGCGGGCACGTCCCCGATATGGCCGTGCAGCAGAGCTGCCGGCGGCGGGCCGGCGACCGTGGCGTGATTGTCCGTGTTTGTCGTGCGGTCTGCGATCCGATATCGCGTCCGACAGCGCGGATGAGCCGGCCGGGGGCAGCTTAGTCGTAATCAGCGCCGTCCCAGAGGAGATCCCTGGGCGTCACGCGCTGCCACACAGCGGATCGAAGGTGGACCCTCCTGTCAGCGCCGAACGCCGAACGCCGGACGCCGGCTCGGGCGGACCGTGGAGACGCCGGCTCTGGCGACCGTGGGGACGCCGGCTCCGGCGATCGTGGGGACGCCGGCTCCGGCGACCGCGGGGACGCCGGCTCCGGCGACCGTGGGGACGCCGGCTCCGGCGACCGCGGGGACGCCGGCTCCGGCGACCGTGGGGACGCCGGCTCTGGCGACCGCGGGGGCCCCCGATGAACGTCTCCAGAAATCAAGCCAATCATGCTGACATTGATTTGTTGTAAAATAGGTAGAAGTGAATGCTATTGGCCGAAGTTGGCGCCGCCTGGCTTCTGACGCATACGAAGCGGGGAGGGTCGGTGATAACAGACGTGGTGTTATCACCACGGGGGTGGTGTCCAGGCGTGAGCGAATAAAGCGCGTCGTCGTTACGACCCCACGCGGATGGACTTAATGTGTCGGAATGTTCTCTCTCGAGTATCAGACGCGGGTGCGATGATGTTTGGCGTCTGCGCACAAATTTCCTGGTATAAAATCGGGCAAGCGGACTGGCTTGAGTATCTTGTGGCCACGAGGCCATCAGTACAGCGCAGAGCGTCCGGGCTGGTTTGAACTATTTTGTGTAGTGTGGGAGGTTTTTGGATATTTCCGCGGTGAAAGAGCACCTACCAAGCTTATGTTTGTGATCGGCTGAGGTTTATTGTTATAAGAAAGCAGTGTAAACTAGGTAATGATAAACCCATACCAGGCATACAATTTGTTGCAGCTACAATTGCATTCATTGTATGTTTCACCCGAAACTTCGTCAGCGACCGAAGTAAAGACACCATGGTATCACTTTGGTATGTTAGTGTGTATCCCAGAGGCAGACGATTCTTGTGTTTGTCACTGTTATATGTTGGTTTATTTGTCACTGTCATCTATTGGTATATATATATATATATATATATATATATATATATATATATATATATATATATATATATATTGGCTCCTGACAAAGTCCCAGGGCGAAATATTAAATTAAATTTAGGCAGAAGAGTTGTATAACTAATGTGAGGTTATGAGCTGTCATGATAGTGTAATTCGTAGGGGGTGTCGCGTACTAAAATCGGTTGTGGGTGGGGGGGGGGGGGCTCAGCCGAAAAGGTTTATCTAACCCCCCCCCCCCAACCTGATTTCCTTCCGGATTTCGTCCACTTGCATTCGCATACTTGTATGTCAAAGTCGAAAGTTACAATATTCTGTAGATTCCAGGTTGCTTTCCCTGGAGGGATGACTTCTCATCTTAAGCTGGTGCGTGCTACGTTTTGTGAAAAGCTTAGAATGTGATGTGATTACGTACAACATTTAAATAGATCTTAGTGAGGGATCACTGATGAGTTCTGCTGTTGCTGATTGTGTTGTATAACCACCGCAGCAACGATTGTACGACAAATACACTAGTCACTCTCGGGGACGTCATGTGTTAACTTTTGTCTGAGCCACCTTGTTCCTTTTAAAGCAACTATATATCGCAATGATTTGTTCTGTATCCCAATCCAGGCGTGATCATCTGAAAACTGTGTTGCTTTGTGATGTTTTTAGGTACTTGCCAACCAAAGTGTCAATAGTTAAGATGATTGTTCTGTATTCGTTTGGCTAGGTGTTTCCTCCTTGCTCATACGCATCAGGAGAGCATTGGGGAAGGCTCAAGTCAAAATCGCGGGGGTTGGCCGCCTCCCTCGGGAGTATATAAAATAACATTCCTGGGAATGTTGCGTTGTATTGCAAGCCCCATGATTCTGTCAGGCTTCGACACAAATAGTCGTATGCACTCCCCTGGTGTTGTTGATGACTGGCCTTCATGGAGGAGTTTTTAACATTTTGCTCCTTTCCGTTGTGTTTGATGTCAGCTTCCCTGACCGTGCCTCGTCTCGCCTGGCGTGGCAGCATCAATCGATGGGTCAGAAAATTTGCAGTTATCTACTGTTTCGGGGCAAGTTATGTCAACGCACGGCAAAAGACGCCAAAATTATTATTTTGACCATCCTAAACGGAACTAAACGTCATAAGAATGAACTAAACGAACTAATCAGGACTAAGTTGGCATCTTTTTGTCAGGATCTTCTATTTGCGACGCATTGGTTTTGCGAAATCTTGCGTTGCATGGTCCGTATGGGTCATCCTACTCGGTAGTGGTTATTATGGCCGTGCTTCAGCCGTGCCGTTAGGGTAAAATAGAAAACCGCAGAGTGCTGCAAAATCTTAGTTGTTCGGCATTGTGAACTGAGTAATTGTTGCAGCAAAACGGGCTAAAAACTTGCTCCGTAAGGCTTTGTTTTAATGACTAGCAGCGAGTAGGCGTCCCGTGCTGTGTTGTAAGGTCTGTTTGTCAGCTTGAAGATGCTTTGGATGTAAGGCACATGCCTTCATTGAGATCATTGGCAAATGAGTTTGAGTTGTGAGTTGCGGCTGAACCGACCCGGCCCTTCGCGATGTGAGATCGCGGCGGGGACAGAGGGGGCAGCTCGCCCGTGGACTTGAGTTCCGAAGTCGCTCGCCCTCCGCGAAACCGCCAGGACGTATGAACTGGTGACTGCTAGTTACATGAGCTAGTGGGCTAGTACCACAACTAATGCCTTTCTTGGTGGCATCCTGACCAAGAAGGGGATGAGGGGAGACCTCTTGAGGTTTTGCGCGGTCTCACTCTCAGGATCCGTGCCAGCGGGAAGGACCTCCCTCTGGTGAGCCTCGTCTGCAGGAGAGGCCTCACTTCGGTGACCCTGTCATTAGAAGAAGTTTCCCACCGGTGTTCTCTGTCGCCGTAAGGGACTTAGTTCCCTGCGATGAATTGTCAGCGGCATTGCCTGGTTGTCGCCAGTGGGACCGATGCCCCGCTGGTGAGCACTGTCAGCGGGCGGCGGTCTGGCTGCGGCGCACCGCGCCTGGGAGTGATGTGCCGGTGGGGGCGGGCGCCGCCGCCGCCGCCGCCGGGCGGATCGATCGGCCCCGCCCCGCCCCGCGCCGCCGCCGGCTCGGCCCGGCCCGGCGTCGGTCGTCCTTGAGTGGCGCCCGCGGCACTCGGCCGGCCGGTCACGCGTGCACACCGAGCCCGGCTCAGCTCGGCTCAGCCCAGAGTAGCCCAGTGTAGCTCAGTGCAGCTCAGCCGGGGGCTCAGCACCGAACGCCGTCCGTCATGCAGGCGTCGCTCAATCACCGCGTCCAGCAGGTATTGGCCATCGGCGCGCGGCGTGGGGTGCCGTCGGCTGCGGCGGCGCGGCTCGGGGTCAGCGCGCCCTCTGGCGGGTCATGCGCAGTTGTTGCCGGCGGCGCTGCCCGCCACTGGGGGCCGCCAAGGGTGTGGGAGCGGCGCCGCTGTTCGTTTGAGCTGTTGCCTGTCAGTGGCTCGTGTGACATCCGCCTTTAGGAGCGTCTGAAATCCGTTCCCCTGCATTCTGATGTACTCGAAAGGCGCCGGCCATGCATGAAGTCGTGAACAAGTAGATGTAGTTGTCGGTAGGGCGCCCCCCAGATGTGTGCGTGATGGGGAGAGGGAGGGGGGGGCTGCTGTGATCAGCTGCCGAGTCAGCCGAAATGGGCCGTCATGGCCGACCTGATCGCGGCATGCGGGAGGGGAGGGAGGGGACGGAGGAGGTGGGGCTCACTCTGGACGTCAGATGCGGGCGCAGCATAGGCAGGTCGCGGCCGATGTGATGAGCCCTTACAGCGGTCGTTCCGTGCAAGCCATGGGTAGTTGGTCCCCGCCGCCATCGCAATGCCCGTGATCAGATTTAGAAACGAAATGAAGCAAAGTGAAACGTACAATTGTTTATTGTTTTTGTAACCAAAACAAACCTGCTGTAAAGGTGCACTGCTAGCTTTGCACGCGTTTTTTCAACAGTATCACGCCGAGGCGAAAGCACATTGATCATGCTCATGTCATCAAATTAAGCAGGCCTGCTCCAAGGCTACCCTGAGTCACATTTGAGACTATTTTAACTGGCCAGATGTGAGCAGTCGGCCGCTGTCATGGCTGACACGTCCTTGGCGGTTGCCGCCGCGGTGGACCTCTGATCAAGGCCGGGCCAATCGTGTCCGGGCAGGCGGCGGCGTCCGGCTGGCCAGCGCGCCGCCGCCTGCCAAGTGACCTGGGGCGGCACGGTGTCCGACCTCTCGGACACGCAGTGGGCAGTGGACCGGCGCTGGGAGCGGCGCCAGCCGGCCTGCTGACCGCCGGCCCGCCCGCGCCCGGGCACGGCCGAGCGGCGTCACCGCCCGCCCTGCAGCCGCGTCACGGTGCGGCGTCACGTCCCGCGCGGCGTCATGGAGCGGAGCGGCGGCGTGTCCTGCACCGGAGGCGTGCCACGGCCTGGTGTCATGTCCGGCACTGCCGGCAGACTCATTTTTATGGCATGAAGAATGAAAATGAGCGGGTTGGAGATTCATGACTTGCAGCAGTA